GATCTAAACGCCAGTAGATCTGGAACACCGGCTCTCCTTCAGCCTCCTCTCATTTATCGGAGCTGCTGTTTTCACAGCGAACACTCGAGCCTGAGCTCACACTGGAGCCGCTGAGTCTCTCTGCTGGTTCTCACTGACAGACCCTGCTGCTGTATGTCGGTAACAGCCAGTGGCGGTTCTAGCCTGTATTGCGGCCTGGGCGAGCACTCCCTCTGGCATCTCTGTTTTGGACAGTGCTATCCTCTATGCTGTTGTTGTATACAGAGGCAGCAGGTTGAGTGAACCACTGAACCACAAGCCCAGTAATGTTGTGAGGAGGATGGAGCTGAACTCCGTTAGGGTGGTGTCTGAGAGGCAGATGTTGTCTAAGATAAGGACAATCATGGATAATACCTCCCACCTACTCCATGACATGCTGGCTAGTGACAGGAGCACACTCAGAGACTGAGATTACCCACAATGCACCACTGAACGACACAGGAATCATTCCTGCCTGTGGCTCCCTGTACAACTCCACCTAACACACTGTGAACACTGCAACAGCTACAGCCTTTTTACACACGCTCTTTTCTACTCTGGAATATTCTTGTCAATTTTCTTGATATTTATTTATCATCACCTCTGTTAATCCTCTTTTGCTCGTTTCTCTTCTTTTCTCTATTTTCTAAACTGAGCACCTGATGGCTTTGAACTTTTCTTGTCCATCTTACATTGGTTTTAATTTTGCTCTTCAGTATGAACACAAATCCCCCAACGAGGATCACCACAACATAACCTAACACACCTACACCTTAGTTCACAGATTTACTTTGTCGAGGGTTTATTTCTGGGATTTCACACAACCCAGGATTCAAATCATGAATACATGATGGGCTTGGATTTACAACATGCTGAATGAAATATGCTCTATTTGGAAGCAGCCGGCCCCTCCCCTTTCAAAGAGTCATGTGTGAGACTTTAAATCGTCAAACTTAATTATAAATTTGTTATTGATCCTTTACCCCGAGTCCTAAAGTGTAAATTTATTTTCTAACTCTTCTTATATTTATTGTTTGTTTACTGGCACTGCTGTAACTGCCAATGGCGTGTCCAGCGGGGTGGCCTGGGGGGGCACAGGCCACCCCCCCAACCAGACTGGCCACCCCAGGTGCCACCCCAAAGGTAAAACAATAAAATTCAATCAAATGTCCGATTATGTTTTCACGGTGAAGCTCAGCTATCCGAGTGTAAGTGAATGCAGCATCAGCTTCTGCGCTATGTGCATCACGTTAGCAAAGGTAGGAGAGCCAAGCACAAAGACGGCACTGCAGGAAACAATTTTTCGGTGAAAGAAAATGAGGACAGAATAAATGTCCCAGTAAGTAATATTGAGTTTGTTGAGTTTAGTAAATTTCGGTGAAATTATAATACCAAAGAAAAAATAACACTTAAAGAATTATTGCAGCCGTGGAATATATCAGACAGTATGCTACTGAGGGCAGCTAACATAAGAGTTATGAGTTATAAGATATCATCTAAGTCGTAACATTGCTGTATGGAGCTGCAGATTTGGTTGCAGGTTAACATCGCTGGACTGGCCATCGGGCATACCGGGCATATGTCCGGTGACTTATTTTTTATTTATTTTTGTAATGGCATGAACAATGAGAGGTGGTGGATTGGCCAGATGCAGGTCGATGTGTAAAAATAACTCAGTTGTTTGGTGGTGGCTATGGCGGGGCTTCCACAGAGGCCAGCAGGTGGATGAGGGAAGGGGAGGCAGGAGGAGAGCCCCGAGGTGGCCACCAGTCCGAGTGTCAGGTGAACTGAACTTCAGGTAAGAAGTTATGAGCTGCAGTCTCTCTGGGTCAGATATAAACCAAGTTTAGGTGCAGTTTATTTTAGCTGTGCTGACTTTTTACAGTCAGTTGCAATAACTCGTACTGCGTTCTAGCCAGCTTGATGGAGTTTTTATACAGCTGGGTGGGTGCTATGATGTTACTGATAGTGAACTTTATTTTATTCATAAAGTTAGTAGAGTTGCCAACGGCTCCTTAAAAAAATGGGATGGTCCCTCATTCAGAGAAAATATTACGCGTTTCGTATTGAGCTGAGAAGAGATGCAGTTTGTCCCAAACTTCAGCTAGAATGGAAAAAGACACAAAGCTGGATTTATTCTGTCTTTATGCTGCACAGCTGCCTCTTCTTCTCTCATTCTCTCCCCTCCCTCTCCTGTTGCTACTTCAATCATGAAACTGATCAATGATCAGCTGATCGTCTCTCTTGTTTGTTTATCGCCCACTTTGCGCCAGAAAGAGGAAACCAGCAGATGTCGCGCTAAACAACAGCAGCACATTTAAGCTTGATCAGCTGTTGTTAGAATTAATTTAATATTAATTTCTAGTATCAGCTGATGTTTGCTGGAGCCACAGCTGTAAAGCTGCTGGTCATGATGTCGGTTTGTATATGTGGTGAGAGGGAAACATGAAACCAGGAGATGTCCTTACTGGATCATCAGAGCTGAACAGGTGATGGAGAAACAGGTTTACCTTTTAGGTGACATGGATGAGTTGAAGTTATGAACTGTTTCTGAGAGACAAATAACACCAGGATCCTTTTCTAAGTAGCTGACAGCTGGTAACTGTGCAGGGGCGGGTCTAGGAAATTTTTGCCAGGGGGCAGGTAGGGCATTAACAGGGAGAGGGGGGCACAAAGAAATACTTTTCTTTCTTATTCTCATTTAAAATATCTCGCTTTTATTAAATAATTATCTAAATCTTACAACCAAAGTTTTTATCTGACGTAAAATGTATAGAAATCATACATATACCAACAAGACTGTACATCACTGTCACAACAGCATTTGTTTTCATTCAAAGGCTTTATGGCTTTAATACCTGGTGGGTCGGTCTGTAGTCAAAATGCCAGATTTTCTGTCCCAGTCCAGCCCTGCAGGTTAATACTGGCAGTGTCACCGTGCCAGCTGACTGTATTTCATCATCAGCCAGTGTTGTTCTTTATCAATATTACCAAAGTTTACATAAGGCAGCATAGAAAGTATTTACTTGCTTTCAGGTTTCATTCAAATGTTAGTCTTTTCAGTTGTTTCCCCACTTTTTTCCTGTTTCAAAATCAAACACCAGTTTGTGACAAGATTATCTTCTTTTTTTAACAGGCAGATAAAGTTTTGCATTGGCTAATTTGTCAATTGTTTGTTACAAATGTTCGTATTTTAATATTCAAAAATGTTTTTGCCCAAAACATATGTGCACTACATGTCCGTAAAAATACTATGCAAGTATTGCTGTCCTTGAATGCTGAGTAAACACTGACAAAGCACTGATTGTATCTCTTGTACTTTATCAACACAGTATCTAAAAACTTTGCACCGTAGTGGTTAAAATCTCATTCTAATAAGAGTTAAAAGCGCTTTCGGTTATTAGGTTTACAGGGTTATTGAATTATGGTTAATGGTTGGTAGAATTTTTTTTAAACATTATCTGCCAATTACATCTGCCACCCTTCTCCAAATCTGTGCCCCTACCTGGCCCCCCCAACAAAAATTTTCTAGACACGCCACTGGTAACTGCAGCCTCGTCGTCTCGTCTCTATATGCTGGACTGTCTGTAGCGGAGATGACAATAAAGTTTACTTTGACTTCAGCACCGCGCAGGCGCCCTGAGGGCTCTCGCGCTCACTTTTCGTGTATAGAATTATGAAGAAACATTGGTGCAAATTATAAGTTTGTATCATGATGTCTGGTGTTTTTGTGTTTGTTGCTTTGTTTTATTTTGCGAGTTGGTTATTAGACGCTGCTCCAGCCAGCCAGAGACTCCCCTGCAAGCAGCAGGCGCACCTCGCAAACGGAGGGCGCTCTTACTCCCAGCAAATAGGTGATAGAAAACCGATCGGTGCCTCTGCCATTCCCAATATGCGCTGGCTGATGTCGGCTGATGTTTGGCTCACTGGGTAAAAAAAAATGAAATCCATGGTATGTTCTTCTATCTGGCTGCTGTGGAACTCGTTTCCTCCGCCCTGCGACTGCATTTCCTCCATCATCACTGATCCTAGCTGACCTGAAGCAAACATGAAGCTGTAACATAACAAAGGACATCAATGATCACTGGGCTCATACGGCATGCTTCATGCAGCAACTCAACAGGAAGTAGTTTTTATTCACTCAGGCTCCAGCTGTGACTTTAACAGCTGCTCATAAAACTAGGAATGTATCAAAATGCAGTTAGAAGGAACACTTACACCATCTGTTGCACGCTGTTCATGTCGATGCTGCAGCAGCTCCTTCAGGTGTGTGAGTCCATAAAAACACTGAGGAAGAAGACTTCCATATACTCTGGATTATTGATCAATTAGTGGGAGGAGTCTCTGTGTTCCCGATTGGCTGATTGAGTGTGTCTCTGTGTCTAGGTGAGTCCAGGTAGCTCAGGAGCTGTGATGAAGTATGGCTTCCCCTCACTGGGCAACATCAAGACCAGAGAATCCTACGTCACCTCCTACGACCCCCGCACGCGTACTGCATCCTGGGTAATAGAGCGGCTAAACCCCGCCTCCCTGAGCGGACTGTCAGACAGGAAGTACTGCGAGTTCAAAGAGGATGACAGGTGCGACAGGAACAGGGCAGGTAAAGTTCATGTTCACATCAGTGTTCTCCCACCGGGCTGTCAAACACAGGGCACGTGGGCCAGAACCGGCCCTCATGAGGTGCGAGCTGGACTCACCTTTCTGCAGCTCTTATTGAGATGCTGTAAAAATCCAACTGTGCGAGCAGAGCTGCAGATAAACACCGTGACCCCAACTTTCCTTGCTTGAAAATTGTGGTCCGTGCAGGTTAACGAGGCGACAGGTGAAGGACGTTCTTCTCTACCTGTGAAGTTGTTTGAATTCTTAACGTGTAACATCTGTTTTCATTCATTGGCAGCGTTCATGTTTTCCACCGAGCGACCAATGCCGACTACAAGGGGAGCGGGTTCGACAGGGGCCACCTGGCCGCAGCAGCCAACCACAAGTGGAGCCAGAAAGCCATGGACGACACGTTCTACCTGAGCAACGTGGCTCCACAGGTGAGACTTTTACCTGCACAGGCTCATCCAGAGTATTGATTACCTGATTGATTCTATGGATCTCTGGTGTTTGTGAGCAGAACCCTCACCTGAACCAGAACACCTGGAACAACCTGGAGAAACTCTGCCGCTCCCTCACCAAACGCTACCTCAACGTCTACGTCTGCACTGGCCCGCTCTACCTGCCCAGGTAACCTGCTGCCCATCCTTCTGTGATGACTGAGGGGAGGGGCTTGGGAATGACATTGTCAGGTGCGTGTTTCAGGCAAGAGGCTGACGGGAAACTCTACGTTCGATATCAAGTGATAGGACGAAACCACGTCGCCGTGCCGACACACTTCTTTAAGGTGAGGGCCACCCGCCGGATGATGTCAGCACTCCTGCCCGTCAGCTGGCGATAAGTTCTCCTGTCCCATGTGCCCTCAGGTGCTGATCCTGGAGCAAGCGGACGGCAAGGGGGTGGAGCTCCGTTCGTACGTGTTACCAAACGAACCTATCAGCGAGCAGGTTCCTCTGGAGCGTTTCCTGGTTCCCATAGAAACCATCGAGCGCATGTCAGGACTCCTGTTTGTGCCAAACATCATGAAGAGGACCGGCGGCGGCGTACGGGCCATCGCTGACAGATGAGCTGCATTACCCACAATCCTCTGCTTCAGACTTCCTTTAATCACAGATCAATAACGTTCGAACGTTTATGAACTTAATTATTTGTGAACTATCAGTGTGAACATTGCTTCTGATCGAACAAACACACAACATACCAAAACAATTTTATTTAATGTTACAAAGCATCTGCACCTTCAAAATAAAAGTCTTTTTTTTAACCCACTCCCTGTCCCGATTTCAAAGTGTTTTTATAAAGTCTGTCCACGGGGACACCACATGTTGATTGGCTGCAGGTCAGCTGTTGTCCAGCTCCACGTCGTCACTGAGCTCTGAGAAGATGTCAGAGAGCTGATAAAGTCTCTCCTTCTCCTCCTCTTCCTGCGCCTCCTGGGGCTCACACTTCTTCAGTCTCTCCTCCAGGACAGGGACGGCTCTGCTCTGTAGGAAGTCGATGATCTCTGAGAGACAGGTGATTACAGATTACTGCAGGCTCACCTGAAAACGACACTTAAACCTGAATTACTCTGAACAACTGAACCTGAGAGCTTGCATGCTGCATTCAGGTGCTCAATGAAAACTGGGAAATCTGAGGGGTGTACTAAATGCAAGGACCACACATCCAGGCTTTGTTTGAGCCCCAGTCTGAGTAACGCCCGGGGTGCTCATCGCCTGTCTGTCCGCTCAGTTTGAGCTGCACTACAGCACAGCTGCTCCTGACCAGGTGAGCAGTTTAGTTACCATTGTGATCGAACAGGTAAGAAGACTTCAGAGGGGTCGGGCTGTCTCAGGTGTGCTCCGGTTGGAGGTTTCTTCGATGCTCGACATGACACGACTTGTTTGTGTGGTTTGGTTTTGGAGAACAGATTCGGCGTGTCCTCGTGTTTGTGTGGTCGGAAACACACTGCACACAAACAGCTGAAGTGACGTGACCCGACACTCGGGGTCACATGATCAAAGCTACACTCAGGTTTAATCTGACAGTGCGACACAAACAGGAAGTGGAACACACACCAAGCTCGAGCTGCTCACCTGCGTACGACAAACTCGTCCAGTTTGGAACTCTGGAAACCTTCAACCTGTAAAACATCTTCTGCACACACATCGGCGTCACAGTCCTGAAACACACACACAGGTGTGACACCACAATACTGCCTGTAGTACAGTCTATTGTGTACTTAATACTAATTTGACCTCACCCGATGAGTCCAGCCACCTCGTCCCAGTCGATGTCCGCTGCGTCGTCCACATGCATGTTATAGAGCCTGAACACACACACACACACACACACACACACACACACACACACACACACACACAGACAGTGATGTCCATCATGACCGGAGGTTTGTCCTGCATTCTCATTGGCTGCTCAGTGAATGCTCTGATGGGTTCGCGTCACTCACGTGTTGATGAGGTGGATTTTTGCGGCGTACCCCTCAGCACCTCGGTTGAACACTCCCTTTGAGGACAGCTTAGACTTCAGCAGGTAGAACCTGGAAAACACCAACACCTGAGTTATACCCGAGGATCCGCTGCTGGCGTGGAATGTACTGGTCTGGTTCACGTGAGCAGAGGAGCACCGACCACTTGAGACGACACTGGATCCAGGACCGGGTCTCCACCTGCTCGCTGATCCTCTTCCAGGGCAGGTTGTTGCACAGCTGGTTTCGGCTCAGACCTGCAGGGCTCTGCTGGACCAGCATCTCCAAGTGAGCCCTGACAGCCTGCCAAAGGCGCAACTCTTCCTCTGCAGTCCAGGTACCGCGACCCTGAGCTGGGTGTGAGCGCACAGACAGGAGAGCATTTTCACAGCTGAGCAGAGAAATCTGTTCTACAGATCAATAACCGATCAATAACCTGCTCCGTCTCAGGTCACAATGAGCAGCTGGAACAAATCTGCAGAATTCTGACTCGGCGCCACGACAGCAACCAGATCAGCCCAACAAATGGACTTTCAAAATAAGCATGGGGGTCGTTTACTTTAAAAAAATTAAAACAAGTCACTAAAGATATCTGACCAAGTTGTCTAAGTACAGTCTGTGATTGACCACAGTGGAGTTCAGAGGTTAGGGGTCACAGGGAAGCTCACCGATGGTGTTGAAGCGTTTCTCCAGCGAGTAGATGCTGCGGTCCATCTTCTCTGAGATTCTCTTCCAGTCGTTGCCGTGGAGCTTCTGCAACTTTGTGAGAGAGCATAGCTCATCCTCAGAAAACCTGAATGAACACACCCAAATTGTGTCAGGTGACCGTCAGGTTAACGAGTCAAACATAAACCCATGAACATGCAACGTGACCTCTGACCTTCCCATGTTATTCCTTTCATCAAAAATCTTCTTGGCTCTGACGTAAACCTGATCACATGTCCGAGGAATCCCCTCAGCTGCAGACAGACAAGAAGATCAAAGGTCATACTGGGATCACTGATTTTAAAATCACAGCAAGACTTAATTATGGAGTTCCACAGGGTTCAGTGCTAGGACCAATTCTGTTTACATTATACATGCTTCCCTTAGGCAGCATCATTAGAAGACATAGCATACATTTACACTGCTATGCAGATGACACCCAGCTCTATCTGTCCATGAAGCCAGATA